CTTAAACAAGAATATTTGGTTTTTTTTGAAATGATTGATGAGATTGTGAGCTATTTTGATCAATCTTGAGACCACTTCCATAGACTACAAGATGTAAAAACCCCCAGAATTTTGTAATCCTTTCAAAGGTTTGATTATGCAAAAGGATTATTTCAAACTTGTGTAATGTACAATTGAAGTCACTAGATCAATCAATAAATCACCCAGAAACACCCTAATAAGAGAAAGGCATTTCAAGCCTTGGAATAATTTTGTAGGGCAGTTTGAGCAATTTTCAAGTTCATAAGAATTTGGAACTGTGCGGAAGAGTAACTTTTTCTGAATCCTTACCCCCACTTGGGATTAAAAATTCACAGTCTTTCTTTTTACAGTGGGAATCTTTTTTCTATAACAAAATCATAAAAAGATTCCCACATGAATTTTTTTTGTCATGAATAGCTTGACTTGAAACCCCTTGATCCACAGCCTGCCTGAAATTTTAGCAGGTCATGAACAAACTAAACAGATTAGGGAGTGTCAATGACAATAAATCTACAACTCAATCATCTTTTTACAGTCCAACTAAATAAGATTCTGTGGTTGTATGAAAATTTAATGGTGGATTGTAGGTGTGTTTTGGTGGTAAATTTATGATTTATCAAAACAGGTCACCTCTGTGTGCATCTTGTTTTTGTAAACTTGATGTAAATTTTAGAAAAGCCAGAGATCTTTTTTACACTTTTTATCATAAACTCTTTTAACTTGACACCCTCTGATATATATGTGCACCACAACAAGTGTTTGTGGTGAAAACTATCAAATGGATCCTTATGAACACATAACCCATCCAGTTTAAAAAATACCAACATTTGATTCACAATAGAATGCAAAGAGGCTCAAAAGATGGTCTGGATAGCCCAGGGAGGACAAAAAACAATGACTCTGCCCGGGCTCGAACCGAGGACAACATGCGTTCACAGGTGTTAAGCAGGCGCTCTACCAACTGAGCTACAGTGCCTATACAGCTTTGGGCTGCTCAACACGTCATATTTTTCGATACACCAGTCTAGATATTTTGCATTCAAGCACACTGAATTGTTATGTTGAGGAGGACCTTAAACAATGGAATGAGGCATTATCCACAAGGTTTGTCTTATCTCTCAATATCAGGATCCAATGAGGATTGCCCTGTCAAGACTTAAATTATGAATCATTTTACAAGAGGCAGAGTGATGTAATCTGATGGATTATGGCAAACCTAACCAAGTTTTCTTCCTGAAAGCATGGTCTGCTCTAGCAAGGGGCTTACACCTAAAGTCAAAAAAATGGTGCTAGATCAGTCAGAGCCTTTTGCCAAAAACTGGTCTGCTTACAAAAAGTTGATTCCAATATTGACTTGCCCCAGCACCAATAGTGAACATAATGTGTCTTGATCCACTCTGAAAATACCCCCTCTGCACTTTCCAACAAAAAGAGTGGTACTTGAGATAGATCTAAACGTCCTTCAGCAGTCAAAGTCAAGAATGGCAGTGATTTGGAATGCCAACTGTAGAAAAAGTCCACATCACTGTTGTAGTGAGCAATTAAGCAAACCAATCAAAAGTTACAAATTTTGAACATCATTATTATCAAATTTCATATTAAAGTTTTATCTTTTGGATTTTAGTTTCAGTTTTGATGAGTCCAGTATGAAAATAAAATGAAGAAATTGAATTGAATTAAAACCTGATATTTATTGGAAATGATTTCTGGAAAGAAAGTGCGGGTGAAAGTAAGGTAGAAGAGGAGAAGTATTGAATTATGGTTTATGTGGTGTCTATATCAACTTGATTTATGGTTTATGAGAGGTTGAAATCATCAACATTTTGAAAATTCAGATTGCAGGTCATCAATAATCAATAACAAAATCATTGAAGATCAACTACACAGCTAGTAACCATTTTACATAGCATCATCAATGCATAGTCAATCACTGATCATAAGATTTCATCTAATATTAGAAAGGAATGTTTATAAGCCATCTGATTCAAAGATTGATCATAAGAAGAGGATTGACATGAGTAATGTGTTAGAAAGCAGCTGAAGACAAGATTGAAGAGTGTGAATTGATGAACTGTTGATTAAATTTGTACTAGAATGATTATTTTATTTTATTTTATTGATTTTGAGATGGTAAAGAAGGTTTTTAAAATCTGTTTACCACTTTTTGATTATGGTATATATATATTTGCAGCCTTTTAACCATATTATATTTCCTTTTTCCTTCATCTCTTACAAGCTTCAATTATTTTTATCATTATAAACTTAGGGCCCGTTTACTTAAGCAAATTTTGGTGAAAATTCACATTTTGTAAATCACAGAAATTGCATTCTGTGAAATGTGTTTGTTTTTTTATTTACAAGCATTCTGTAAATCACATAATGCTTATAAAAAGACTTTTTTCGGGTCTTTTCAAGAATGCTCTTGTAGCGCATTCTTGTAATCAAAAACACATTTTGTGATTTCTTCTTTTGTCTCAAATTGGACAAGTCCAATAAATCTTTCTACCCACCATACGAACCTATCAACACTGTGACAAGTTCATCTTTGACCACTCTCTTTGACCACTCCCTTCAACCACTCCCTTCAACCACTTCTGTTCTTACATTCTCTTTGATTGATGATTTGAAATGAAATGATTTGAATGGAATCAGAATTGGATTAGAATTGAAATGACAGGTTTGAAATGATGGGATTTGAAAGCTTTGAACAGCTTTGAAAGCTTTGAGATTGATCGGTGATATCAGATGAAGAGCAATGATCACCCGTCTTAGGAGTGTTCTCAAGGTAATTCTCAAAAAGCTTCTGTTTGTTTGAGTAGATCAATAGGGAAATGAAGGTAGGGAAATGAAGGGACTTGGCTTGAAGAATAATGGCTCATGGATCAAGAATGGTCATCTTGATCAATTGCTGAAAACCGTCTCTTAATTGTGGCATAATCGAACACATTTTGACCTCCTTGTTTTCAAATTGTCAAATTTCCTCAAATTTCACTTTTTTCAAAAAAAACACTTTTCTACATGTAGAAAAGTGTTGTAAGAGTATGTGCTTTCTCAGAAAGTGCATTAAGTAAACGCGCCCTTATTGTAGCAGTACAAGCTCACTCAAAGCGGCCCCTCTATCAGCGTAGAAATTTGTTTTATGTAATTTATATGACACTGACATTCTGGAATGACATTCAAAAAGAGTGTGGAAATTGTTTTCTTTTGCGTTTTACACAAGTTAAGTAACACTTTAATTGAGTTGAGATTATCAAATTGACTATGAAAACACCAAAGATGTCAAGATATATTTCTCTGGGCCTTTTATCTTTTTCTCTTTGATACTTATCTGTACTCAATCAACAAGATCTTTGTTGTTTGTTTCAAAAGGGCAGTCCTTAGACACCTTCTACTTTTGTTTCATCAAGTAGATTTACCCTTTAAGCTCTGTATAACCCTTGTGGGATTATAAGTTCTACACCGCCTGCCCCCAACCAGTTTACTAACCGGAGTAAAGGGAGTGCATCTATCTACATTCAGTGACTTGACCTGCCCAGATTTGAAGTCAGAAAGATTCACAAAAACCACTCCAACACCAACTTTGAATATCAAATTTATTCATTATGCACATGAAGACATGTAATCTCAGACCTGATGGTCTGGGCCATATAGCTGGTCTCCACAAGGGGGTATGAGTGGAAAGAAGATGATTAAACCTTTGGAGAGTCCACAAAGTACAAGATCTACAGTCATCTAGAGGTATATGAGGACTCACAATCTATACCAGTCAAATCTTTGCAAAGGCCGCCTGTCAAGGTGGCTTTGAACTATTGGTGGAATAGTATAGATTAGTCACTAAAGTCTGGAACCTGTCAAGTTCTCCTGCTGGTGATGTGGGATAAGTGATATTAAGTACCTAATGGTGATAAAATAGGTAATAAATGCTAATCAACTTATAGTATAGGATACAACTTTCTTTTAAAAAACACATAGGCCTACTGCTAGTTCAACAGCAGTGGGATGGTTGGCCCTAGACCTGATTTTATTCTCTTAGCTCAAAATTGTAGGAGTAGCCTGTTAGCTTGAGATAAACAGGGTTCTTTAGCGATTTTTTGTTGAGAGAACAGTGGTATTTGCCAGATAGAATATCACTTACCAGGAGAATTAAGTGAGTCACTGTAAATTCTGTCTTGGAACAAGGATGACAAACTGAGGCTGATTTGTCAATCTAGTGTTCTAATGGACAAGCAATTGGACACCCCCCCTGGGTTAGGAAAGTATTAGGGGAGGAATGTGTGCTCAGAATCCAAGTATTCTAAATCAAGCAGAAAGTGAGGAAGGTATAAATATGTTTATTTGACTGGGAAAAAAAAGTTGTAAGGATACAGTAAAGACTTGATTGTCTTCTTCAAAGTAAACTTTCAAAAGGGTAAAATTTGATGCCTTCTAATTATGTCTGAACATTTCTGAGGTTTTTCTACCTTTTCTTGATTTAGGTTGACTTATGGTTCTAATTGGGGTCATAGAATCTTTAGTTCATATTCCACATGTATATTTTATGTTGTTTACAGACTCCAATTCCTTGAAACATACTTAATTATCAGCTTTGATGTTATCTTGGCTGGTTCTTTTTGGTAGGTAATTGATATTACTTCTCATCCTTCTTACAAATCTGTTTGTAATAGAGAGTTGTTCTATATCATGTGTAATACATACTTTCATATTTGGTTTTCTAAAAATTTGTGAGCTTTTTATTTAGGTCTTTGATACTAGACCTATAAGTTATTATTTGTGATCTTTATGATCATCAATTTACCTAATTTCATATAAATGGCATTATTCCCTTGTAGACTAGTTTTTGAGTTTTATTTTGGGGTCTTTGACACTAGACCAATAAGTTGTCATGTAGATTTCTCTCAACATTCTTTGAATCTTTGACACTAGATTTTGAAGTTATTGTATTGAAAAATCTAGTGTGTTGAGCAGGGAAAAGCTGTATAGGCACTGTAGCTCAGTTGGTAGAGCGCCTGCTTAACACTTGTGAACGCATGTTGTCCTCGGTTCGAGCCCGGGCAGAGTCATTGTTATTTGTCCTTTCCTGAGCCGTCCAGACCATCCTTTGAGCCTCATCCCATTCTATTGTGAGTCAAATGTTGATATGTTTCAAAATAGATGGGTTATGTGTTCATAAGGATTCATTTGATGGTTTTCAACACAAACACTTGTTGTGGTGTACATATATATATTAGAGGGTGTCAAGTGAAACGATTTGATGGTAAAAAGTGTCAAGAAGATTTCTGGTTTTTCTAGAATCTACATCAAGTTTACAAAAAACAAGTTGCACACAGAGTTGACCTGTTTTGATAAATCACCAAACACACTTAAAATTCACCATTGACTTTTCATACCACCACGGAATTTTATTTGATTGGACTGTCAAAAGATGACTGAGTTGTAGCTTTTTGTCATTAAGACTCCCTAATCTGTTTACATAGTTTGTTCATGACCTGCTAATATTTCAGTCAGGCTGTTGATCAAGGAGTTTTAAGTCAAGAGATTCATGACAAAAAAAAAATTCATGTGGGAATCTTTTTATGTTTTTGTTGTAAAAAAAAGATTCCCCACTGTAAGAAGAAAGACTGTGAATGTTCAATCCCAAGTGGAGGTAAGGATTCAAAAAAAGTTATTCTTCCGCACCGCTCCAAATTCTTCTGAACTTGAAAATTGCTCAAAGCAAGGTACAATTCTGCCCTATGAAATCATTCCAAGGCTTGCAATGCCTTTCTCTTATCAGGGTGTGACTGGGTGATTTATTGATTGATCTAGTGACTTCAATTGTACATTACACAAGTTTGGAAAAAAACCTTTTGCATTATCAAATCTTTGAAAGGATTACACAATTCTGGGTTTTTTTTACATCTTGTAGTCTATGGAAATGGTCGCAAGATTGATCAAAAGAACCTAATTTAAGTAAGTGAACAGTCAGAGACTTCCTATAGTACCATGCTCCTTGATAGATGGATGTACTCCGACCAATAAACTGTTGAAACTTGATATCTATGCCCGCTTTTTAAATTCACAGCTACAATTTGCATTTTTAGTCCTACAAAAAGAGGATAATTTGAAACTGTACATTCAAGTGAAGTGCAAGCTGGATAACTTTTTGAATTTTCTTAATTGCTCATCTCAAGGAGAGTGGAGTGTGGTGAATGTGTATCACAATTTGATAGGAGTGGATTGAGAAGGGATGAGTGAAGAATGACTCGAGTCTGAAGTTAAAGTGAACCCGAATTGAAATTCACTTTCGAGTTCGAAACTTCCAAAATCCAAATTCACCAAATCCAATCAAAACCAAATTCAACTTCAAATTAACAAGAACAAGAAAAAGAAAAGATGAGAAATATTAAATCATTAAATAATCTGATTAAACCCATCAAACCATTCCTCAATCAACCAATCAACAAAAGATTTCAAACTATAAGACTATATCATGATCGATCGATTGATTTCTCAGGTTTAAACGAATCTCAAATCGAAGTAAGTCAAAAAATGAATCTCAAACGATTTATGAAAACCCAAAAAAAAATGATTAAACTTCATTCATATCAGAAAAAAAAAACTAATGGTTTAATTTGATTTTGATTATATATTTTTTCCAATTAGCTTAAAGAACTTATTAAACAATTTGTTAAAGTTGAAATCAATCCGATTGCTCATCAAGTTGATCTTCAAAATGAGTTTCCAAATGTAAATCATTTATGATTTCTTTAAAAATTTCAAAGTTAGTTTTTTTTTGATTTGAAACTAAAATTCGAAATTTCTTGAACTTTCACGAAACCCCCCAAAAAAAGGAACTTTGGAAAAAGATGGGTGATATGGGATTAGTAAGTCAAATAACCTCAAACCAAACCCCCCAAAAATACCAAAATTTAAAGCTGATTTTTTGGATTTTGGTGATTTTGAGAAAAGTTAGGGATCACTGTACCAGAAGAATATGGAGGATTAAATAAAGGATATTTAGAACACATTTTAGCCATGGAAGAGATTTCAAATGGATCAGGTTCGATCGGTTTATCATATGGAGCTCATACGAATCTATGTATTAATCAAATCAATCGAAATGGAACAAATTCACAAAAATCAAAATATTTACCTAATTTAATCTCAGGTGAAAAAGTAGGATCTTTAGCTATGAGTGAAACTGAATCAGGTTCAGATGTGGTTTCAATGAAACTTTCAGCAATTGAGAAAAATGATCATTTTATCTTGAATGGAAACAAGTTTTGGTAAGTCTTCAATCAATTCTCCTCCCCTCCCGTCCAAAAAAAATCTCATCATACAGATTCATATCCAATTAAATCATTCTCTTCTTTTTTTCGTAGGATCACAAACGGACCAGACGCATCAACCTTGATTGTGTATGCAAAAACCGATCCACCCAAAGGGATCACAGCCTTCATCATTGAATCAGATATGAAAGGATTTTCAACTTCACCCAAATTAGATAAATTAGGCATGAGAGGTTCGAATACGTGTGAATTAGTTTTCGAAGATTGTAGGGTACCTAAAGAAAACGTTTTAGGTGAGATCCATCAAGGTTTGAAAGTTTTAATGTCAGGTTTAGATTTAGAAAGATTGGTCTTGAGTGCCGGTCCACTTGGACTTATGCAATCCGCCTTTGATGTCGGTCATCTTGCTTTTCTTTTCTTTTCTTTTCTCTCGCTTTCCTTTTGTGGGACTGATTGTTGGTTTTTTTTTTGAAAAGTTTAGTTTGTGATGCCTTATATACATGATCGACATCAATTTGGAAAACCGATCGGATCATTTCAATTAATGCAAGGAAAAATCGCAGGTCAGTTTTTAGAAGAGAAAAAAACCTTCCAGAATTCAATTGAGACTAATCCCATATTCTATTTTGAAACACTTGATTTGATTTTTGATCGGGTGAAATGGATGAAAAATGAAATCTAGATATGTATACTAAGATCAGTGCATCAAGATCTTATGTTTATTCAGTAGCAAAAGCATGTGATGAAGGTAAGATCAGTAGAAGAGATTGTGCAGGAGTGATTCTCTATACATCCGATCGAGCCTTGGAAGTGGCCATTGGTGAGTCCAAAAGCTCATTCATTCATCCTTTTTTCTTTTTAGAGTCCTTCCCTTCTCCTTTTTCTTCAAACATTCATCCTTTCTGGGTTTTTTTTCGGTCGGGGCTGGTCGGGGAGGATAGATGCTATGCAAATGTTAGGTGGGAATGGTTATATTAATGATTATCCTACTGGTAGGATTTTTAGAGATTCACAACTTTATAGAGTTGGAGCAGGTACACAGGAAATCGTAAGTTGGATTTGGTTTATGATTTGAAATCAAGATAAGATGATTGATGTTGATTTTAATGTTGATTTTCATTTTAATGTTGATGTTGATAGAGGAGAATGTTGATTGGTAGATTATTTAATGAAGATTATTTGAAAGCGTAAGGGTTTGAAATTTGCTGCATATGTTTTTTTTTTCACTTTTTTTTCTTTGAATAGCAATTTGTTGTGATTAAGTTTAGTGTAAGGAGATGAAGTGTTTTTTTTAGTTTAGTTTTGTTGTAGTATGTGTATATGAGTTGAGTTGATGATCAAAGCAATGAAATCCTGAGTTGACTTGTAAACTCATCAGCCGGTTTCAATGGATGATGGCAGCTTTTGATTTTTTTTTCTGTTCATTTGATGGTTTTAGGAGATGGGAGTGAATTGGATGATGATGATGAGCTAGGAAAGATGAAGATTGAGTTCAGGAGAAGAAATGAAGAAAGTGAATGAGAAGAGGAGAAGAGAACCCAATCAGATTAAAAAAAGAAAATTAAATTAAATTCAAATGACATAAATTCAACTTCAGTTTTAAAAACCACCAAAGACCAAGACCACCTTCGATCATCATCATCATCAACTTCTTCTTCATCATCATCATGCCATTCGGTCCAACTCACGATTTAATCAAACTCTTATCAAATTATTCATTAAATGCTTATTTTCAATCGATCATCTCAACTAATTCAAATCAAGTTCCAAAGGATACACCCATCATAGTAGCAAGTAATCATTGGAATATGATCATAGATGTATTCATCTCATCTCTCTCTCTCTCTCTTTCTCTCTTTCTTGATCTAAAGAATATCATTCAATTCACTAATTTCAAATCATTTTCTTCTTTATTTTTTTATTTTTCCAATTTCTAGCCTGCTTTATTATCCACTCAACTTACTCATGGAATCAAATTACATTATTGGGCAAAGAATACACTTTTTAAAAATCCGATGATTAAATTTATTTTAATCGATTCAGGTAATATACCAGTAGATCGAACGACTAAAAATAATCAGGTATGATTCATGAATGACACAAAAATTGAAAAAAACCCGATTGAAAATCAAATTTCAAAATGGTTTCAAGAAGATCTGACGTTTTGATCTTCCACATTCGAATTTTGGTTTTTCTTTTCTTTTTCTTGACACAGTTACTCTTTAAAGGTACATTTGATGTACTTAAATTAGGCGAAGCAGTTGCACTCTTTCCTGAAGGTACAAGTTATACTGAACCTAGAATTTTACAAATTAAAGATGGAATCGGTTGGGTATGTTATTATTAAAAGTTTGGGTGTATGTTTGTATATGGTAGAAAAAAAAACAAAAAAGAAGAGTGAACTTCATCAGGTTTGGTTGACTGATCTTTGATTTTTTTTCTCAAATCCAGACTGCATTAGAGTATGCGAAAAATTTGAGATTTACAGGTTCAAAACTTTCAGGTTCGAAAGAAACTGCATCAGGTTTAAATCGTTTACCTAAATCAAATCCACCTAAAGATGTCAAGATAGTGATCGTCGGATTAAATTATACATCTAAAACTCAATATAGATCATCAGTTCAATTAGAGTATGCCCAACCGATTTCGATTTCAGAAGAGATGATTTCGAAATTCATGAGTGAAGATGAAGGTGAAGCGAAATCATCAGTGAAAGAATTGATTTCACAAATCGATCATCGATTAAGATCCGTGACCATTAATTCACCTGATTGGGAAACACTTTGGTGTGC